ACATATTTTTCATTGTTATCTTCTACTAGAAGCCTGGTGCATGAAAATTCATGCACTGAAGGGGGGTCCTTCAGCCCGACCTGCCCCCTCTAACAGTCTGGGAGCTGTTAGGGGCAGGAGGTGATTTGGCGATCAGGGGAAGGTATTGCCCCCATTCACACCTCTGCTACTGCCACTGCTGGCAGTGCAAGCTTCGGCCGGCCCTGGTTATCTGAGCCTTGGGAGGCCCTGGGCGGCTAAGCAGCTGCCATCCAAGTCTTGCCTGCTCCTCGGGTGTTGGCTGGGCAGCTGCCATCAAAGGCTTGCCTGTGCCTTGGGCTGGCCCTATGTGGCTGGGGGACTGAGGGCAGGTCTGGCCACACCGTGTGCCTGCCACCCCCTTTGGTGGGGCTGAAAGACTGGGGGACTCCGGCGGAGCTGAGGGGACTGGGCACAGTCATCTTATGTCCAACAAGGGGTTAATATCCAAAACATATAAAGAATTCATACAACTCAACACCAAACAATACAGTTAAAAAATTAGTAGAGAACACTTCTTCCAAGAAGATACATAAATGACAAACAGATGAATGCAAAGATGATATTCAACTTCACTAGCTTTTGGGGAAATGCAAATCAAAACTACATGAGATACCACCTCACACCTGTTAGAATGGCTCTTATCAACAAAGCAACAAATGACAAGTGCTAGGGAGGATGTGGAAAAAAAGAAAGCTTTGTTCGCCGCAGATGGGAATATAAACTAGTAGTCACTATGGAAAACAGTATAGAGGCTCCTCAAAAAATTAAGAATATAATTACCATATGGTCCAGCAATTCCTCTTCTGGGTATCTACCCCCAAAATTTGAAAACATTTATTCACAAAGATATATGCACCCCTATGTTCATTGCAGCATGATTCATGGTGGCCAAGACACAGAAACCACTGCAGTGTCCTTTGCTAGATGACTGAATAAAGAAGAGATGGTACATATACCCACACCCAGAGCAACAGGCCAGCAAGAGACACCTGTATACCATCTGGTTTTGAAGATCAGCACAGATTCTGTCCACCAGAGAGAGAAGAAGGTCTGCCAGAGACACAGCTGCCTCCTTAAAGGGCCACACACAAAATCTCATTCATAGCACTCACCCTAGGCTCTGGAGGAGGGAGGGCAGAGTGGACTAGAATCATGTGAGGAGAGACTAGGGTTAGTGGCTCTGGGGAGAAAGCTGAAGAGATAGCCACCAGGATCCCTGTACTTCTCCTAGGGCAAGGGAAACTGAGGAGAAAATAAACAAATGGGACTATATCAAAATAAAAAGCTTCTGCACAGCAAAAGAAACCATCAATAAAATGAAAAGAAAACCCACTGCAGGGGAGAACATATTTGCCAATGAGACATCTGATAAGGGGTTAATATCCAAAATATATAAAAAACTCATACAACTTAACAAAAGGAAGACAAACAATCCAATTTAAAAATGGGCAAAGGATCTAAATAGACACTTCTCCAAGGGGGACATACAGATGACCAAGAGACATATGAAATGATGTTCAAAGTCACTAATCATCTGAGAGATGCAAATTAAAATGACAATGAGGTATCACCTCACACCTGTCAGAATAAACAAATGACAAGAGTTGACAAAGATGTGGAGAAAGGGAACCCTAGTACACTGCTAGTAGGAATGCAGACTGGTGGCTGCAGCCACCATGGAAAAGATTATGGAGTTCCCTCCAAAAATAAAAAATGGAACTGCCTTTTGACCCAGTGACCCCATTTCTAGGGATATTTACTAAGAAATCAGAAACACCAATCCGAAAGAATATATGCCCCCTATGTTTATAGTGGCACACTTTAAATAGCTAAGACTTGGAAACAGCCCAAGTGCCCATCAGTAGATGAGTGGGTAAAAAAGCTGTGGTACATTTACACCATGGGATACTATGCAGCAGTAAAAAAGAAGGATCTCTTCTTACCCTTTGAGACTGCATGGAGGGACCTGGCGAGTATCATGCTAAGTGAAATAAGTCAGAGAAAAGATAAGTGCCACATGATCTCACTTATATGTGGAATCTAATGAACAAAATAAACTGATGAACAAAATAGATCCAGACACATAGAAGCATGGAACAAACTGAAGAGTCTCAGAAGGAAGACAGGGGTAGGAGGGGAGGTAGAGAGAGATTAACCTGGGAACTTATGTGAATATATGCTTAGCCCATGGACACAGACAATAGTGTAGTGAAGGCCTGGGAGGGGTGAGTGCAGGGTGGAAGGTGTCAATGGGGAAGAAAAGGGCACATCCGCAATTCTTTCAACAATAAAGATGCATTTAAAAAAGATACAGAAAAAAAATGAAAATGAAACCAAAACTCATAGATACAGACAACAGTATTGTGGTTACCAGAAGGAAGCGAGAGGGAATTTAGAAAAGGTAAAGGGGTCAATGTTTGGTGATGCAAGAAGATTTTACTTTGGGCAGTGGGTTTACAATGCAATATACAAATGTTGTCTCCCAGAATTGCATACTTGAAATTTATATGATTTTATTAACCAATGTCACTATAATAAATTTTTTTATTTTTTATTTATTTTTTAGAAAAGAGAGAACTTGGCACCCATCAGTTGGTTTAATTAGCTTCATGCAAAATAAGCCCCTGGTCTCCTCTTCTCCAACTTTACTAATGCCTTATATCTCCGAAGGTTGTTTCTCTTTTGGGTCCTGCAATTAATGTAATACACACACACACGACTATCTTTCTTCCCTGTGCATTCGCCTCTTTCATTCCCCAATAATTCCACAACCAAGATTTTATATGATCTAGTAAGAATTGCTTATCAGTTGCCAAAGAAGGAATTGGTGAAGCCAACATAATCATAGCCAGCAGGGTGGCTCCGGCCCCGTGGGTCCACGTATTGCTGCATATGTGAGGCACAGAAGGACACTTGTTCTGGTGTGAGAGCCTGAAACATAAGAGGAAAAGGATGCAGTAATAAGAATTCAAAATAGCTGGTTCCTTGGGATTCCAATATTCCCCAAACTCAGCGAGTGGAGGAACTTTAGAAGAAAAAGCCAGCACTGTTCATATCACATACCTTTAACATTAATTCCTAATTCCTAATGAATAAAACCAACAATCTCTTCAAGTCAGCTGTTACTTGAAGAGTTCCATGTCACTTTGGCAACACTTATCGCATTCCCTAAATTTGGCTTATTCAATAAATGGGATAAAAAGCATTCTTGAAAACAAGTTTCAGGTTTGGGCTTGACCCTGATAGTCATTAGAGGTTGACTCTGCGTTTTGATCACAACATGAAATGGTGACCAAAGAAGATGACTGCTAGAGAAAACCAAAGAGGTGGGGTCTAGTAGGCAACTAGGCCTGAGATGAGCAAAATCTAGATTGTTATGAGAGCATAATGAGGGAAGGTGCCATTGGAATCGTACCTGCTTCATGTCATCTTTGGTAATATAGTTCTTGCCCTCTGCCAAAGCTTGGAAAGCATTCTCTATTTCATCGCTGGTCTTGATGTTCTCTGATTCCTTGTCAATCAGGAATGAGGTATATTCTTCCAGTGAGACATAGCCCTTCCTGTCGGATAAAAGGATCAGGAACTGTGCCCTCTCAACACAGAGAAGAAACAGGTCTCATTCTCATTCTACTTGGTGTCACAGGGACAGAGGGAGGCTGGATTTTCCAAGTGCCTCTTCCAACTCAGCTCTCTAAGACCATGACCTATTTGACCGTCGTTCTCCTCCCCTTACAGTCAAATAAACACTTCCCCCAGTTCCAGCCTCTGTTTCCCTAAG